GAATTCATATTACGTACAAACATTACGAGTGATAATTAACATAACATAATTAACATAACATATTGTAAAAGGAAGAATATAATAATATATATAAAAATCTAGTGCACGCAACACACAACTTTCACTTACTCTTTGAACTTAAAATAAAAATTATTTTCTGGCCATGTTAGGCTATTATAAAATGTTTTAAATTGCATTTTAAACTGAGCTAAAGCTAACAAATCACAAATGCTATTAAAATAACAAAAGTCCTATTTATTATATCACCGGTTGATTATGGATTGTACGATTCGTTGATTATGGATTGTTTGATCCATTGATTATGGATTGTACGACTATAAGTCATTAAACTGTTATTTATATACCTATCTTAAATACGTGATATCAGTTTCATAGGACTTTTCGTTTTTGAGCTAGATTGCTAACATACAAACATGCAGACACACAGACCCTTTTTCGGGAGTTGGTCATTTCGACTCAGGGTACCTCATAACGTATAAATCCGTCAAAAACTCAGATTCAAAAATTTTCTCGATCGCAATACTACGTATATATTACATATATACGTAAGTGAAAGTAAAAATAAAATGATATATAGTAAATCTATTTTTTTTTAAATAAATAATTTAATAAATACATTATTTTAATAAATAAGAGTATTCATTAATTAGGTTGTGTGAAAATATTTCCATTTACTTCTGTAAATTTAAGCGTATTCATTTTAGTAAATGTGAATACTGCCGTATTCACTTTTACAGGTGTAAATATAAATAAAATATAAATTTAATGTAAATATAAATACCATAAATATAAATTGTATTCGTATTTATATTTTTGAATATAAATATGCCCATCACTGGTTTAGAGGAAGCCAATATTGAAAATTAGCCCAAATTAAATATGAAAATTAACCATAAATGCCCTGATAGAGAACATCAATGAGTATAAAACCTATATTAAATTAAAAACTGCTTAATAATACACTGATATACTGAGTTAAATCAAAATCATTGAGCCGTTTTTGATAAAATCATAAAATTGTCAAATCAATATTATAAAGTACCACTTCCCGTTTGCTAATTTTGACTAAAATGATGCTGTAACATCAGAAGCTTATAAAAACCTTAAATATGCAATTTCACTATTATACGACTTTTCGTTTTTGAGCTAGACTGATAACACACATATACACACTCAGACCATTTCGTGGGATTTGGTTATTTGGACTCAGGAGACCTCAAAACATGTATTTCCATTGAAAACTCAGGCTTGAAAATCTTCATAATCGCAATGTTGTATATATAGATAAGTGAGAGTAAAAAATAAAAATTAGCAAATTAAAATTGTATTTTATAAGTCGATTGTTTTTTATCTAAGACAAAATTTATTTTTAAAGTTACTATTTAAATAAATTTCTATGAGAAATAATGTATTTTTTTATATATATAAGTGAATATATAAAATATAAATCTGTTTTAAAAATATAATAATTTCAAATGGCTTAGAATAGTGATCTGTAATTTTTGTTTGAACTTTTAGGCGCATAACTTTTTTTTTATTGGCTTAAATAAAAAAAATTAATTAGATAAAATCAATACAACTCCTTCGTTGTTTTCCTTCAAAATAAAAATGTTTTTCAGCCTACTAATTTGTGATAGAGTATCTTCTTTTCACATTGGGGGGTGCGTTATCTTGCAAGTTATCTGTTTCTGAATTGTAATGTATGATGGAATAACTAACATGACTCATCATCAACATTTAATAAACTATTTTGTTATCATTTAATTATTTCTCGGCAAACTAAGTTCACTTATGGAAGACCCAGAGATAACGAAAACATATTGTCACTTTAAAGGTGCAGCTTGAATATTGGAGGGTTAAGCATGAGCTCGGCAAAATTATTCATGTGTTACTTGATACATAGCAAAACCTGAAATTTTAGGAAATAATTTTTTTGCATTAACATACCTGTATTGTAACCATTGTTCACTACAGGATCGTTCACGGAGGGACGGGTCCTTTTACTGAACGGCAGGAATGGTGAACCGTTTTCAAGGAATGGTCATTCACTCTGTCTTTTTGTTCACTCCATATTATTGCTGCTGTCTGTCTTAAAAACTTCAAATTTGGAAGAAAGATGTTTGTTTGTCAAAAAGTGTTTAAAACATCAATTTTTTTTTCATTTAATTTATTATATTTGGAAAAGTAATTTTCCAATAACATATAAATTAATCTTTTCGATTTGTTTTTATTGGTACAAATTCATCCCATCTAAATAATTTAAAGTTTATATGTAATACATCCTTCAAGGATTGGTTTCACAAAAATAATCTAATAATAATACTAATCTTTTATTTATTCTGGGACGAATCCCTTTAGAATAATTAGCAAGGACAGAAATGTGGGCTTTTGAGCCCCAGATATATATACATGTATTTAGAAAGTTAACTAATAGATATAATAGAGAAAAAAAGAAAAAAAGGTAATCTTCTAGATTAAATCGATTAAGAAAAAAATAAATAAATGAAAGAACAATGAGATGAAAATAATTGAAAATAAACTAATAATATATATATATATGTATATATATATATATATATATATATAATATATATATATATATATATATATATATATATATATATATGTATACATATTTACATTAGTTTCTATTTACAATTTTAGAGGGACTGGATGGAAAGAAAGTGATTGAATAGGCAGGATTTAAAAGTAGGGAGAGTATAGGAGCGACGGATGTCGGGAGGGATGGAGTTCCATAGGGATGAGGATCGAATAATAAAAGATTTATCGAAAGCAGCGGTTCGGTGGGTCATTATGTATAAATCTGAAGACCGGGAACAGGTATTGCGAGAGTAAACAGAGGATTTATATTGAAGGAGCTCGGAGATTTATGAAGGATGGTAGGAGTGAATGACTTGGAAGAAGAAGGATGCCAGGAAATACTAACAGAGACCTTTAATTATTTCTAATGAATAAAACTGAATTTTCTTCGATTTTTTGAGCCATTTTTGAACAAATTATAGAGCAAAAATTGTATAATAAATGGTTTAAAGCAGGGGTCTCCAAACCTTTTGGTCTGCAGGCCACACTGAGGCTACAAGTTAATATTGAATTACTGGATTCAGTAATGCAATTTAGCTGTGGGTTTTAGTTCTGACGATGCCTTAATAGTGTGAAACCTTGAGGCATTATTTATTTATTGCATTTTTCTCTATGTATCATTTGTATTATTTTTTTTTCGGTTGGCTCTACAGACCTTGTAGATCTTTGGCCGCCTGAACCAGCCTTCTCCACCTCTGCCTATCTTGGGCTACTGCTTTCCAGTTTGCTGCATGCTGCTCAGCCGTGTCTTTGTTTATCCAATCTATCCATCTGGTTTTTGGCCTCTCACGTGGTCTCTTACCTACTACTCTGGCATTCATTGTCGTGTAGAGGCATCCTGACGGATTACCACGAGCTACATGTCCTGCCCATCTTAACCTCCTTGCCTTCGTATCATGAGATATTGACTGACCCGTTTCTTTCAACAGTTCTTGATTGTTCCTTCTCCTCCATGTGTCAAGGTTCTAGTCCCATATAGGTCCTGTTATCCTACGTAGAACTTTTCTTTCGAATCTCTCAATTCTGGCTTCTAATGTGCCTGTTAGAGCCCAGGTTTCACAGCCGTACAGCAGAATTGGCTTAATTACGGCGTTGTATACCCTTATTTTGAGATTTATGGATTTCAGTACCTTTGAAAGAGAGAAGAAAGATCTGTTCGCACTTGTTATTCGCTGATCTATCTCTGTTAGTTGATCATTTATTGAGGTTATTGTGGAGCCGAGGTATTTGAATCTGTCTACTTTTGGGAATGATTTAGAATCCACGCAGATCATGTTATTAGGGTGGATGTTTCGGCTAACTATCATGTATTTTGTTTTATCTACATTGACCTGCAGTCCAATTTGCTCTGCTTCTTTTAATAGAGTCCTAGCGAGTCTCTCAATATCCTCTTGATTACTTTTGAGGACAGCTATATCATCGGCATATGCTACGATTTTATGTTTCATTCCACAAATTTTTCTGATAGTAGAAATCATCCTTCACCTCATCCTCTTTTACGCGTAGCACACTTATCCTTTCATTAACTGGGGTGAAGCTTATTACTGATTTCCTTGCGGCCGGATTAACTATAAATCCAGTGCCAGCTGTTCCATTTTTGTCGTTTCTCCCGGTGTAGAACAGTGTGTAGCCGTCTATAGTGGTTTCCCCACCATCTGGTCACCTTACCTCTTGAATGGCTGTTAATGGTATGTTGTACCTTTTTATTTCATTAACTACCGTTTGGGCGGCTCCTGGTCTGTATAAGCTCCGAATATTCCATGATCCGATATGGAGTCCGTTATACAAAGCCGGAGTCGTTACCATGTTAAGACAGTCAGATTTTCCATGGTTAGTTTTAGGTTTCTTAATACTTTGTTTTTGACGGGATAGGGTTATTAGCCCTATGCACAACCCCCAACCTGGAGGACCAGGAGCTATGTCTACCACAGGGTCACTCACCTCCCTGTGGTGTGAGTTGCCTCCAGTAGGCTGACGGGTCTCACATACCCGAGGAGGGGGGTGGAATCATATCATTTGTATATAAATATATATTCTTTTTTGAGTATGGAAAAGATGTCCAGTCACGTTTTTAATATATCTGTATAGTTATATAAATACTTCTGTTATTACTTAGTTTTTAGTTATTTTTTTATTGTAATATGTATTTTGGCCAGATGGTATGTTAATTTTTATGTACAAAATTGTTATTCTTAAGGGACTTTGTCCCAGAATAAAGTTGATTCTTCTATTCTATTCTATTGTGATTGGAGAGACTAAATTTTTTGTCTTGAAATCTCCAGTAATAACCTTATTTATTTTTTGTAATGTTATTTTATGTAGCAATTTTGTGTCCTTTAATTTATATATTAGTATGATTATGTTGTATTGAATTTTAGCTTGTCACAATGTTAGAAATGGATGCTGAACGAATTAAGCATGAGAAAAGTGGCAACTTAGTTGTTGGAGCTGTAATACCTCAGGTTGAAGTTACATTGGTAATGCCCTCTCAAACTCCTGGGAAAGAATCTTCTGGTGCAGACTTGGAATCGGTGATTCCTGATACTTCAAGTCTCGCAGATGATATTGTTACTAATCCTAGTATTCAATGGAATACTGTATTAACAACGAATTTGCAAGTATATATTGTTTAATTAAGATCTTTTTTTTACTTAACTTAGTGTTTACTAAAGAGAATTATTTTTATTTTATATTAATATTATGTTGAAATTGGTATATAAATCTGTAAATACATATATCTTATAATGTTTGATAATAAAGTCATATAAAAAGGTGTATTAGTCCAAGCTTAAAATTATCAGTAATTGATGTGACTCTTGGTATCCATGTTTACTCTGATATGATTACTACAGAATCACACCTTATCTAAGAGATCTCTCCTTTATAGGGACACAGAGAATCAATCCTGTCATCTCTATATATCTATCTACGTGGCGCTACAACCCTGGGTGGGTCTTGGCCTCCTCAATGAGCCACTGCCATTCGGCCTGATTTTGTGCTGCCACTTTCCAGCTTCTGATCTGCAGGCTCCGTGCATCCGCTGTCACTCCATCAACCCATCGAAGCCTTGGCCTACCAGGCCATCGTGTACCGTGAAGGGCGGTGTCCACTACTTTTCTAGAAATTTCTTCCGCTTCCATCATTGCGACATGGCCAGCACAACTGAGCCTCCCCAGTTTTGTAAACTTTACAACATCCATATCTCCATAAAGGTCATAAAGCTACCTGTTCCTCCTAATCCTCCATCCATCTCCATCTCTCGCTGGGCCAACTATTCGCCATAAGATTTTTATTTCTATTTTATAGTTCAGAGACTATTTTCATCACTTCTTGAGATGGTCCAGGATTGGGAAGCATAGGTAAGAATAGGGCATATAAGAGTCTTGTATATGACCTGTTTAGTGCCCCTAGTAATGGATCTGCTGTGGAGTTTTCAGTAAGGCAAAATATGTCCTATTTGCCGCCACCAGCCTTTTCCTTAACTCAGCAGAGACATTGTTGTCATTAGGGATCCCAAATATGTAAACTGGTTCACCCTTTGGAATGTATAAGGCCCCACAATCAGTGCCTCGTTGCCACCAGTCCCTGTGTGCATATATTTTGTTTTATTCTCGTTTATGGCCAACCCCATGGCTGAAGCAGTGTCCATGAGTTTCCTAAAGACTTCTTCCAATGCTGGTCGGGTCCTGGCCACGATATCCAGGTCGTCAACATATCCCAATATCTGTACAGTACGGGTGATTATCGTGTGGTCTGTCTGGATTCCTGAATCCTGTACAGCTTTGTCCATTTACGTTTGAAGAGGACACAGGCCAGGCCATCCCTCTATTTTAAACCTTTGTTGAAGGGAAATGCATCAGAGCAGTCAGACTGGATCCGTACCTGACACCTTGCATCTTTCATTGGCAACTTCACGAGACGTATCAGTTTGCTTGGGATGCCCATTTCTCTCAATGCCTCATACAGCTTAGGTCGTTTGATGCTGTCATATGCACTCTTGAAGTTACAAACAGGTGGTGTGTAGGAATTGTATATTCCTGACTCTGTTCCAAAATTGTCCTGAGGGTGAACACTTGATCAACAGTGGATCTGCCTTTCCGGAAGCCAGCTTGATGTTTCCCGATTTCCCATTCTGCAAATGGGGTAAGTCTGCTGAAAGGATATTCGAGAGGATCTTGTAGGTACAAGACAACAGGGCTATGCCATGGTAATTCGTGCAATCAAGTTGGTCTCCTTTCTTATGGATAGGACATATTATAGCATTAGTTCACTGTCGTGGCACTCTTTCCTGGTCCCAAATTATATATCGAAGAACACGACTATGCTACTCATCTCCTCCATACTTGAAGAGCTTGGCTGGCAATCCATCCAGTCCCGGCACCTCATTGTTTTTCATGCAAAGGATTGCATCCATTACTTCCTCTAAGTCTGGGGGCTTTTAAAAAAAGTCAATGTTTTCTTTAGCAATAACTTGATATAATTATATTACCTGATATATTTTTATTGGTAAAACCACCTATATTTTAAAATAAGGTCTTCAAGAAGTTGTCATGGTCTCGAGAAAGACTATGTTCCTTAAATTCTTTATTCTTCCCCATATTTCTGCTAATGATAACTAGGTTACTGGCCATTGTGAGCCAAAGCCATGTGGACGAGCTTTTCAGACAGATCACTTACTCCCATTTGACTTATTACTGTTATTTATATTATTTATGACTTTTTATTTAACCATTTTAGATTAGTTTCTTCATTTAGAAACTAATCTATGAATTTACTATTTTCAGATTAGTTTCTGTAAATGGAGACAAGGAGCCAATAAAAACTTACAACTTAAAAGTTAATTTTTTTTTTAATTATGTGATTGTATTCATGTAATGTTTTTCTTAGGATGGTGCTGTTTACAAACGAGAAAATACTGTTTCTGCGACTTCTCCACCCAGTGATCAAATATCTGTAGATTTGCCATCGCCCATAAAGTTAGATTCGCCTAAGTCCAATTTGAATTCTTTGATGGGTTTATCATCAGTTAAAAAAGGATTTACTAATTTTTCTAAAATGATTGATTCTGCTTTGAAACCTTTTCCTGATGATGCAATTAGTGACACAATTTCAATAAGGTTAAACTATATTTATAATTAAATGTTAATGTATGTTTGTGTGTTTATATATATATTGTAATATGTCCTTATTTTAACTAATTATAAAACTCCTGGAATATCACTTCATATTGTAGTGATACTTTCAAAAGAATTAAGAGATTGTTAAATAAAAAACAAAATTATATTAATAAATTAAACTGAAATTTATAATTATTTTATCTCAAGGGATGGGATACTGACAATCAGATCAAAACACTCAGACAAACTAAAATTAACTACACTAAAAATTGTTTGATTTTAAAATAAAGTCAATTATGAATTGGCAAACTAATCTTTTTTCTATTTACGCTGTTTCTTCCTTCGTGGCACTGAAGCCATATGTATTCAAACACTTTCCAATGTTCTGCCAAACGTACCTTCCAAAATGGTGACACTTTATCTATTCAACTCAAGCTACCTGGTACATCCTCTCTCTTGTAGTTCCAAACAACTAGTGCCACAGGCAAACAACAAATGAATTTTGTTCATCCCCTAGCAGCCATTTTCTTATTTGGTGAAACTCCAGAGCAGCTATTTTCTTTTCCTGAAACTATTTTTAAAATTTAAACATCCCCCGACATTACCAGAACTCGATTAGCTTGCCTTTTAACTGTTCAACATTAATTTACTAAACCATTTTTCCAACTTCCAATTAAGGTGTAAATTACAATATATATAGTCATATCACAACAGAAAGAGAATTTATCAGGATAATAAGCATTTTGACACCAGGGTGATTATTAAGGCTGATCCTAACCCTCTGTTGAATAAAAAAACATCATAGTGTTTTATCACTGAATGAAACACTCAATAGACAGTTAGCTCTGACTTGAGGTCATGATGGCCAAGCTTTTTAAAAAATAAACTTCAACAGTTCTGGGTCTAGCAACACTGGTCCAATCAAATTTATTTTATGATGGACCTATGTAATGAATCTCGACATTTTGAATCTGGTTAGTATAGGTGTGATTGCACTTCTAGAACGACCCTTCTCCACCCCTACTCATGCCAGAAATGGCAATGTAGAGAGTAATCAGAAAACCAAAAAAAAAGTTAACTCTGTTTCTAAACATCTATAAGATAAGCTAATGATATCAAAGAAATGTAAATACTGTAACTTATTACTAGGGGACCAAATTTTAATAGAGACAACTGAGATGAAGGTGCTCTTGGACTCTAGTGGGGTTTCAGTAATTTTAGGAGGAACCATTATAGGCTTAAAAATTAAAGAGGAAGAGAGACAGGACTTATGTGAACTGTTGACTAAAAGTCAGTTGGTGGCTTCAAAGAAATCAAAAATAGTTGCTTTTAACTGTTCTAAGATTTTAAATATTGCAACTGGAGACAGAACTGTATGTATGGGAACCTAAAAGACCTCTGTATATAAATTGTTTTTTGGAATGTCATGTTTTGTCTGATGGGAGCTGTGGTAGTTGAGCAAGTTAAGGCACCTGCAAAAATGTTATATCAAGTGTTCAAATCCCATTAACAGCATTTAAAAACAAAAGAAAAAGATAAAAAATAAAATAATTAATAATAAATTAAAAATAATAAGAGCAGGCCCTACTCGATTGCTTAGACTACTAAGGTGCGGGTTGGTATGTACATGGGGATGGTAAGTACAGTCCCCACCCAGAGATTCACAGGAAGGTAAGTGAATCCTGTGTCTTACACTATAACTCCTGGTCCTCCAGGTTAGGGGTTGGGTATAAGGCTGATAATCCCAAATTGGTGGAAAAGTGGAAGTTAAGGCGTAAGGAAAAAAAAATGTTTTTTCTGATTACTTAAACATCGCATATTCTATTATTATAAAAAATGTTGGTTATATTACTGTCAGGGAATGGGGTAGCTCAGTGGGTTGGCACTGTCTTCCTGAACTCAAGGTCTCAGGTTCAAATCCGGCTGATGACTAGTGTTTACGCCGCATACTTATATCTTTATTTTTTTTCATTACTATTTTTTCTCTCCGTTCACCCTTTTTGAATGTTAATTTATGAATGTTTATTTATTTTTTATTTTTGAAAGTTTAAGGGATAATTGTCCCAGAAACCTATTTGAATGTGTATTATTTAAACATTGTTTTTATTTCGCGATGTTTATCGCTTACTTATACGCACCAGCCCGGCAGTAATACCCAGTCTAAGATATTAAGACACCAGAAAATTACGATAAGACTGCCGGGGAGTCAGTCAGGAGTGAGCTTTCTTAGATATATGGTCTACCCCAGAGATCGTCAGTATCCCCCCACCCCACCAGCCGCTTCTGTCTCACCTCACCTAGCGCCATTGTAAAACTACAGCTGTGGCATCGGCAGTCATCGATCGAAATCGATATGCCTATCGATTGGATTCTCCACACCATCGACTGCAAGACTTCAAGATCTGCAAATCTGCAAGAAGATGAGGTAACCTCATTGGAAGTAAGGCTGTTTACCTACTTCCCTCTTGGATCGTATTTTTCTTCTCTCCACCGTTACCGAAGGACATTTAAATATTAATTTGGTTTTCCACCGCTAAATCATTCATTTTTGGACATTCAATTGAACTCTCAAGTTTATTTTTTTCTTGTAATTATTTTTATTCTCAAAGTTTTTTTGTTTTATTTTTTATAGACAATTTTTCATTTTCATAGGATTATATAGCATTTCCAAGTCAATTTCAACCTTTTCCAAATCAAATTCAATCTTTTCCAAGTCAAATTAAACCTTTTCCATTTCAAATTCAACCTTTTCCAAGTCAAATTCAACCTTTTCCATTTCAAATTCAACTTTCGAATTTTTGTCAATTTTCGATTTTTTTCGAAATGAAGGCCACTTACTATATTATCGAAGGCATAGCTTTTGAAAAATACAAAAAAAAATTTGATAACGCGGTTGCATATCATGTCATTTCCAAGTCAAATTCAACCATTTCCATTTCAAATTAAACCTTTTCCAATTCAAATTCAACCGTTTTCATTTCAAATTAATGTTTTAATTTTTTGTAAATCTTATATATTTTTTTAAAATAATGGCCATCCCCTCCCCCCTCCAATATGAAAGTCTATTATTATGCTCTCCTAAGTAGAATTTTCACTTACGGATATCGATTTATTGTACCTATTCGGATTTATTAGGGACTAGTATTATGCTGTCCTGTGCCTAGTTTTGAAAATAACCCCCATTTTAAGATTAAGTGACTGCGTTTCGAATCATTTAAGTTTTTTTGACTTATTCGATATAAGGGTGTATTTTTATGTTTCCCGATCAGTAAATTTTGAAAATGACATCCATTTTTTGTTTACGCCACTGTGTTTTGACTTATTTAAGTTTTTAGAATTTATCCAATATAAAGGTCTACTTTTATGTTTCTGGAGCCGTAGATTTTGAAAACGACCTCCATTTTAAGATTAGACCACCGCGTTTCGACTTATTTGAGTTTTTCGGATTTTTTCATATGAGGGTGTATTCTTATGTTTCCGGAGCCGTAGATTTTGAAAACGATCTCCATTTTAAGATTAGGCCACCGCGTTTCGATTTCTTTGAGTTTTTCGGATTTTTTCCATATGAGGATGTATTCTTATGTTTCCGGAGCCGTAGATTTTGAAAATGACCTCCGTTTTAAGATTAGGCCACCTCATTTCGATTTCTTTAAGTGTTTCAAATTTTTATCATAAAAGAGTGTATTCTTATGTTTCCGGAGTCGTAGATTTTGAAAATAACTTCCATTTTAAGATTACGCCACTGCGTTTCGGCTTATTCAAGTTTTTCGAATTTATCCAATTTAAAGGTCTACTTTTATGATGCCGGAGCCTTAGTTTTTAAAACGACTTACATTTTAAGATTAGGCCACTGTGTTTCGATTTTTTTAAGTGTTTTTGATTTTTCCTTCGAATAAAAAACAAAATACGAAGGATTAATTTATTTTTAAATAAATAAATAAAAATATCTAATCAATATAAATAAAATATGTATTGTCTCATTTTTAATTTATTTTTAGTTATCTTTTTTAATGTTGTGGTCTCCTGTCACAAAATTATAAGATTTCGAACAATTAGCTGAAAAATCTGAATACGGAAGGTTAAATTTATTACCAGCTACTTTTCGGCTTTTCAGTTTGTATTCTGTGGTTATTTTAACTTTAGCTTCATAATATTTATTTATTTATTCATACTCAAAAACATATTGATGAAACTTTTTATTGAAAAAATCCAAAATGAAGCCTAATTATTCGAGATGCAGCGGCTTAATCATAAAATAGAGCTTAAATATTAGATAAATTTAAATATTAAAGATTAGAAAAATTTCAATACGTCTCGGATAACATATAAGTAGATCCTTATACCGAAAAAGTAAAAAAAAAAACTTTTATAACCCAAAACACAGTGGCTTAAACTTGAAATTGGGTCATTTACAAAATGGGGGAAACCTACTGCTCCAGAAACATAAAATTAGACCTTTATACTTGTTAAATTCTAAAAACTTAAATAAGTTGAAACGCAGTGGCGTAATCATAAAATAGAGGTCATTTTCAGAATCTACGGCTCAAGAAACATAAAAGTAGACCTTTAAATTGGATAAATTCGAAAAACTTAAATAAGTCAAAACGCAGCGGCGTAATCATAAAATGGAGGTCATTTTCAAAATCTACAGCTCCAGAAACATAAAAATACACCCTTACATCGAATAAATCAAAAAAACTTAAATAATTCAAATAAGTCGAAACGCGGTGGCCTACCTAATCTTAAAATGGAGGTCATTTTCAAAATATACAGCTCCGGAAACATAAAAATACACCCTCATATGAAAAATATCCGAAAAACTCAAATAAGTCGAAACGCAGTGGCGTAATCTTAAAATGGAGGTCATTTTCAAAATATACAGCTCCAGAAACATAAAAATACACCCTCATATGAAAAATATCCGAAAAACTCAAATAAGTCGAAACGCGGTGGCCTAATCTTAAAATGGAGGTCGTTTTCAAAATCTACGACTCCAGAAACATAAAAGTAGACCTTTATATTGGATAAATTCTAAAAACTTAAATAAATCAAAACACAGTGGCGTAAATATAAAATGGATGTCATTTTCAAAATTTACTGATCGGGAAACATAAAAATACACCCTTATATCGAATAATTCAAAAAAACTTAAATAATTCGAAACTCAGTCAGGTAATCTTAAAAAGGAGGTTATTTTCAAAAACTACTCATACGATAACAGACCCACACATTGAAAAATTAAAGATAATTAAATAAATAAAAAAAGGTTGAATTTGAAATGGAAAAGGTTTAATTTGAAATGGAAAAGGTTGAATTTGACTTGGAAAAAGTTTAATTTGATTTGGAAAAGGTTGAATTTGACTTGGAAAAGGTTGAAATTGACTTGGAAATGCTATATTTATGTTTATTTTTACTTCAATGAACTTTTTTCACTATTGTTTATTTTGTTTGTTTTGACTTTGGTATATATATTTTTATTCAAATATAAATTGTGAACATTCGAAAGGGGGATTATTATTTTCCATTTTGATTAATTGAATATTTTTATTTAATATTTTGATGTGTATGTTTCTTCAATCATTACTGGTCTCATTACCACTAATTTTTTCCCTTCTTTCCCATAGTTTAATTTTGCTCGTATTTTCCCCACCTTTGAGGAAACTCACCGGGAAAAGGTCTATATTTTCATTTCGAAATAGCCCTGGCCCCAACAACTAGTAATTTTTCATTAGCCGTGGATAGACCCTGGGGTTGGGAGACCCTCCTGGAACACACCTAGTCTCTATAAAGTGGATACTCTTAATTAAATAATTAATTAAAGGGGAACCTGGCAGTTGAGCATGATCTTGGCCCAATCACCTACAACTGTTGGACCTGTAACAGTACTTCCTCACATAGCACTGTACCTAAGACCCATTTACATATAACCCTTCATGAGTTATAGTGGCACAGGATTTTTTTTTTACATTACTGTAATATATAGTCTATTTTTGCTTTAACATTGAGTTTTTGGTTTATTATGGTATGGTTTATTATAATAATTGCCATTAAACTGTATTTTTTTTTTCAGATCAGATGGTAGTTCTGATAGTGATAATTCTGTCATTAATAAACTAAGTCTTGGTGATGATATGTTTAATATAGATGGCAATGAAGCTTTAAGTGAAGGAGTAGATATTGGAAGTGAAGCCTTTGAGGATGATAATCAATCTGGTACAACTATGAGTGCTACTACAGCAAGTGAAAGTCATTCAAATGCAAGTTCATACAAGAGGCGTGATTTGGTAATTTTAAATAATACTAAAATATAACATAAGTAGCTATGGTCCTACTTAAAAATTTACTATGTCATAGAAAGTTATGCTATGGTTAATAGAAGTGTCAGTAGCACTGTGGTATAACAATCTGCCTTTTAGGAAGAGGCTGGTATGGGTGAGGGAAACATGTCAAGTTTTATATAACTGTATTTAACTAATATAAATAAATCAAAGGTTTAACAAACCTATTGATTTAATTTTCATAATTCCAACAGACCTCAGATATTGCCTACAAACCGGAGATGGGCATATTTACACTCAAAAATATAAATGGTATTCGTATTTATATTTTTGAGTATAAATATGCCCATCTCCGGTTTGTAGGCAATATCTGACGTCTGTTGGAATTATGAAAATTAAATCAATAGGTTTGTTAAACCTTTGATTTATTTATATTAGTTAAATACAGTTATATAAAACTTGACATGTTTCCCTCACCCATACTAGCTAAAATAAAGCTGGTAAACCTCACCCATATTTATATTCACTAAAATAAAGATGAATATATTTATATTCACTAAAATAAAGATTATACGTATTCACAGGTGTGAATATAAATATTGCCGTATTCACCACTTTAAAATTGAATACGGATGTATTTACTGTTGTACAAGTGAATAATGCTGTATTCACGTTTATTAAAACTAGTAGGCCCGTGCGAAAAATTCGCACAGCATATTGTTATAAAATGCCAAATTAATAAGAAAATAAAATAATGCAACGTATCAAAAGATAAAGAAATCAAATGATACTTTATTGACAAATCTAATCGACAAAGAAAACAAAAATTAATTTAAATCTTCATTTTTGTTTGGAACCAACATGTTTACTAATTTCAGTAAGCTGTATCTTTGCTAAAAATTGTCCAATTTTGATGGGGGTTTTTTTTTCATTTTGTAGGGAATTTAGTAATCTTTTATATATGATATGGCTCGCCGATCAAAAACACCATGGATAAATAATATAAACTCCTCCTCTCTCGATCATAGAGACTTCAAGTCGACGAAATGAGACATGCATTCAATGACAGTACTACAATTAATGTAAGGTTGTGTGGATGTGAACCCTATGCCTTGTGTTATCTCGAACATAGTACGTTTTTGGGCTTAAAAACGCAGGATCCGATAGTTCCGGAGGAACTATCCGGGTCTTGCTGTACGCATCAAAATCTTCAAGATCCAATTTGTCCCGTATTGATCTACAGACAAACCACCGTTCAAAACAAAAGTAAAATGAAAGTGGAGAGTGCGATTCGCTAACCCCCCGTGAAATTCTGAATCCAACGGTACCCCATTCATGGTATTTGAGTATGACAGGAGCTTATATTTGGTACAAAACCTATTTTGAGCCTTACTCTAATAATATATGTGGGGATGAATATGCTTAAATTTACAGAAGTGAATGAAAATATTTTCACACAATTTTATTATTGAATACTGTTATTTATTAAATAAATATTAATTTATTTGTCACATTAGGTATTTTCCAAAATAAAACAAAAAAAGTATGCAAAACTTAAAATAAAGTTCTGGACAGTAAGAGGTTTATTAAATAAATCTCTTAAAAAATATTAGAATAATGTTAAAAGGTTGGTATTTGCTAACTCGAAATGATATATACATAAAACGTTTAATTTTATTAAACATAAAATTATAATTTTGAATATCTTAGGATTATTTGAATTGATCTAATCAGAACAGATTTGAATTGAAACATATATAAACATTCGCTAATATTAAAAAAAAAATATGATAAATAAAATAAAACAATATGCTAATAAAGTATGGAATATTTTTATAAAAAAATAAAATTGTCTATCATAAATTGTCTTTTAATCACTTTCTACAATTTATTTTTATTAAAATATAATACATTTTACTACATTAATTAATATATTTGGAACTTACTCTGGTAAATGTTACATTTTTAAATGCTTAAACAAAATAGAAATGTCTTCTTGTAAAAATTATTAATCACTTGATGCTTATGTCACTTATCAATTACACATTTTTTGTGAAATCACTTTTATATCATTACTTAATGGTTTGAAAATAAAGTCCTATTCAACGTGACTCATACATAGAACTTTAATTTTGTTAAAAAGCCGCTACTGTCTTGAATACTCACCAAAGTCAAAATCCTGATCCAGATTACAAGAGTCTGTGCTAAAGAAACAGACTCAGTTTTATCAATTTCATACATTGATCTACCCTTAACTTAATTAACATGTATAGTCACCCCTTCATTACTCACTTTTGCTTTATTACTTTACTGATCAGCAGGTCCGGAAAGGTCATTATCCAAATTCGACTGCCCTTGTCCCTACCCTGGCTTCATCCAAAGGCTGCCGTGTACCCGTATTCCCAGGGTGTCATTTCGACTGTTGTGCATACCCTCACATTCATTAAAGTTACCTTTATTGTCATCAGCAACCCATAAGTTAACAGTGCACCGAAAGGACCAAAGACACAGATTTTCCATTCTGGTAGGGGAGAGAGAGGGACGATGGATACTCCCAAAAACAAGGTTTCGGGAATTTATATTACGTACAAAAATTACAAGTGATAATTAACGTTACAAAATACATTGTAACATAATTAAAATAACATATAGTAAAACGAAGAATATAATACTATATAAAAATAAAATGATATATATGGTGAATATCTTTTTTTTGTGTGTGTATGTTGTATTTGAAAATATGTTAACAAAGCAACTGGATATGTTTCATAGTTTTATTTGTATTTAAACGTTTGAGTCAGTGAGATGAACTCATCACTTCATATTTGCTACCGGAAATGTAATAAAATCTTCATATAAAAATTAAAGAATGTCGTTAATTAATCATAAAATCTTAGGATATGTTGCTGCATATAATTATCTTTGAATATTAACTAAAATTTCTATAATAGGGTCATAAGAGCATGGTAAAATACATATCTATATCTAAGCATTAGTTTAGTCATCTAGTCCAATTTCCTTAATTGACTTTAGTTTACATAATTAGCACCCTCCTAAGATCTTAACATATACATAATTATAATTTTATGTTTAATAAAATTAAACGTTTATGTATACACCATTTCGAGTTAGCAAATACCAACTTTTTAACATTATTCTAATATTTTTTAAGAGATTTATTTAATAAACCTCTTACTGTCCAGAACTTTATTTTAAGTTTTGCATACTTTTATTGTTTTATTTTGGAAAATACCTAATGTGACAAATAAATTAATATTTATTTAATAAATAACAGTATTCAATAATAAAATTGTGTGAAAATATTTCCATTCACTTCTGTAAATTTAAGCATATTCATTTTAATAAACGTGAATACCACCGTATTCACTTGTACAACTGTAAATACAGCCCTATTCACTTTTAAAGTAGTGAATACGGCCGTATTTATATTTACAACTGTGAATACGTATCATCTGTATCCATGTTTCTTTTTATCAAAATAAATATAATCATATTTATATCCAAAAGTGTCATGAATATAAATAGTAACAATTTTGAATATAAAAATGCCCATCTCTGCTACAAACCTCCCTCCACTGAATTCCATCAAAACCCAAATCTGCAAGTTCGTTCCTCCCATGTATGCTTTAGTCAATCCTTAGGATGCTTACCAGATTAAGGTTGATTATCTTTTTTTGATTCATTTATCATCCATCCTAACAATCTTACATGCCTATTTATTTAATCCACCACAGTGATTTCTCCTTAATTGTTGTTATTCACATAATTTAGTATTGTGTAAATGTCTATTCTTTGGAGAACTCATCATAACAATGTACAAAAAAAAAAAAGCACTAAGCCATTCAGACTGTTATACATATATCCGTTTTGACCAACATTTTAAATTCAAGTAAAATAATAAAGATAATTTTAAAGAATAATTTAAAATATGAACCAGAAAACCTCAAGACTTATCTGCTCTATAATAAATTAGTATAGTGATATATACAATGATAAGATTTGCAATTTTCATATTCTAAAATGGATTACATGAAATTCAAATCTAGCAAAGAGCTTAAAGAAATGAATAGTTCAGTAAAACTCTTTTTTGCCTTAGCAAGAATATAACATCCCAAATTTTCAACTGAAACAATTTATGTGCCACAAAATGAAAAAGGGGGCTGGTTTGCAAGAAAATAACTCAAAGGGATGAGTAATCAGTTATCAAGACTTGGTTTAAAATCAAATAATTATGTCTGAATTCTGATTATTTATTACCCACAATATACAGTAAAGTCAATTACTATGCGGTATTACAATTAGGAATAAAATGGGATGCCTGTTAAAAGAATTAAAAATCTGAAGTTTTGATGCCAATTCTACTAGTCACTGTCTAAAAACTTAATTAAAATCTTTAGATCTGAGCCCTACTTATCAATATTTATTTAATTAAAATAATGCCAGTGCACTCTTGCCAATATAAAACAATCTTATTTATCCTAGCAGGAAAGAAATTTGAATCCCTGGAAAAAATAAATTCCCAAAAATTATGTTCAATATCACCCTGATTTAAATCCAAGGTTACTCTCATAAAAAATTGTCATGGTGCATGAAAAAGTGGAAGTCAGTAAGAAAGAGGTCAGACAAAGGGGATGGGTGTTCATAGTCCAACTCGTGCAGTTATCGCAGTATTGGTTGTGTAACAAATGGTTGGGAATTATTGAGGAGAAGGTTGCTTCCAATCAATTAATACAATTAATCAAGGTAAAAACGTTGCAGCAATTGATGCATGACATAAATTTCTTGATATTATTTGTTAGCAGAGATAGCCTCATCCCAGGTAAGAAAGCTAAAGTGGATAATACTGGCAGTAGATCACCATACTGTGACTAGGGATGGGCTGGAACCATTAAAGTTTGGAACAGTTCCAGTTCTGTCATTGGAATAGTTCCCTTTAATGGTTCCAGGTCCAAATCTTCTTTACTGGGTTACCTACTTAAATATTAGGCTAAATGGTATTTACATTTACTTATTAAATATTTATCTGGATCCAAATAGCACAGACTGACTCTAAATTCATTATTTGTAGATTTTAAAAACAATTTTTATCTAATACTAGCTGACCCGGTCACGCATTGCTGTGGCTCATTCTGGTTAAATAAAAAAAGAAGTAGAAAAGAAATTATATGTTTCTAATATATTTTATGTAACAATACTTGTGAATATGCGATATTCTTTGTTGTTCTATTCTTTGTATAGATATAGGGATTGTCTGGTTTTCCAACTCTAGAGTTTGCAACATATAATTTGCAATTCTAAAGTCTATATAAGAAGCTATCGGTCTCCAAAAAGGTTAAAAAATGGGCTATCATACATAAATTAGATGGGTATTGGGATAAATTATAAATTATACATAAAATGGGTATTGGGAGTGACGGATCAGGAGGGGAAGGTCATTAATGTAAATAGCAAACAGAGAAGGAGATAGAGAGGAACCTTGAGGGACACAACAGAAGAGGGGGAGGGTTTCAGATGGGAGTTAACCTGGGACAACTACATACTGGGACCGATTTTAAAGGAAGGATTTGAAACAACGCAGGGCACTGTTGGATAGAGGAAGATTATGCAATTTCATAAGGAGGATGTTATGGTCAACTGTGTCGAATGCTTTGGAAAAATCTAGAAGGATGAGGATGGTAAGGTTTTGGTGTTCAATGGAGTTTTGGAGGTCATGGATTATTTTAAGGAGAGCGGATTGCGTTGTGTAGCCAGGTTGAAAGCCAGATTGGAATGGGTTGATAAGGGAACGTTCTTCTAGGAAGTTGGAGAGTTGATTTTGGACAAGGCCTTGTAACGGCTTTGGAAGGTTGGATAGGAGAGAAATAGGATGGAAATCGTGCAGTGAGGTAGGGTTGGGAATTTTATTCAAAGGTCGGACTAGGGCAGTTTTCCAGGAGGATGGGAATATAGAGTTTTGCAATGAAAAGTTGTGGATATAGTAAAGAACAGGAATTAAGGGCAGGAAGGCTGGATTTTATTAGTTTTACTAGGATATTATTAGGACCATAATCATTAGTGTGGGATTTTAGAATAGTGGAAAGTAATTCATCGTAGATCACATGGGAGAAAAAGAAGTCTTTAGGATTGAAATTGTGATGTTTAATATCGAAAGTAGGAGAAGAATATTGTGAGTGAAGGATAGGAAATGGTCATTGAGATCATCTGGAGGAAATGATGGGTATAATCCAACAAAAATTGCGTACTTTTTGAGTTATTCGAAAATATAGTTTTGAACCCATCGTAACTTTTTTTTATTACTGAAATAAGCATAAAGATAGAAAGATAGAAAAGAGACATGTGGTGATAGTGGTATAAAAGGAAAAATCCAAACTACAAGCCATGAGTCTTGAACATACAGGTGAACAGTTAACTTGCCAACATTTTGTTAATTCAGGCATCATCAGGGCAGACAAAACAACAGCACATATATATAATTTATTATTTATACACATAATTACCATTAAGAATTTTTTTAATGACATTGTAATCTAATAAAAATTAAATTAAATTTGCGATCTGCTTAGTCTCTTAAAGATAACTAAAAAGCTACTTGAATAAAGATATTGAAGTGATGTGAAAAATCAAAAAAATTAAGTAGCGATGAATTAAAATTGCTAGTTATCATGTTAGATATATGAAAACATTCAGTATGCTTTGCCTCATTTCTTTGTGAATTAAATTAATTACTCATTTTTTGTATTATAGTTTTTATTAATATACTAGTATACCCCAGTGAGAAGTCTCATATTAGATCCTTTTCCCTAATGCATTTGACATATATAGACATCAGTGAAACAGGTTTATTTGTATATACTATATAACATTATCAATATAGTCAATTCATACACACAATTGGTGAAGCTTCATACTTCACTATGGCTGCTAAAGTAACAATATACATAATAAGTGATTAGCTTATCCAACTTGAATATATCCCTCCAGTTTAATAGTTAGGGAATAAGACACAACTATCCCTGAACTTATCTATTATCCATTGTTGTACTCACTCAACACCTATTTGTTTGTAGTTATCTTTCTTACTAAGAGTATAGAAGTCTATTTATTAAAAATACAAAAAAAAAAATTTGTCTATATTGTACAAAGTGCCCATGGATTAGAGTTGAGAATGGTAAAGAATCACAAAGCTGTCTTTTTCAATTTACTTACCAATTTTTAGTTTTTCAAAGACTTACTAGTAGCAATATTTTAATTATTATTACCTAACCATGTTATAAGTACCCCTGGCAACCACAGGACCTAAGAGGCTTTTGGCAAATATTATAACTTATCTCAAAAGCAGTACATTTTAGAGCTTTAGAACATTGGTCTGATAATTCCATTAAATTATCAGGAAGGAACTATACCAGGCCTTGTTATCTGCTTCAGAATCTTTGAACCACAATTTAATCTATCCCTATTCGTCGACACTTTGAAGCAATATGAATTTTGAAACCTCTTAATTTTTTAATGACTTTTATTCTAGTTGTAGTAAGATTTAATTTTTGAAATTGTCATTCATCACTTCTCCATGAAATTTCCTTTTGTTTGATACCTCATTCATCAAAATCCAACACTTCGGAGTGCTAGAAAGGGATTATAATATTACCATATTATATATAGTTTAGATGATAAAAATATTATAAAATAAGTTTAAGTTCTCTATAATTTTTGTCTAATACTGATTGGATTAATAATTATATCAAATTTATTATTTGCAGATATCTGTAGCTACATTTAAATTAGGTCAGGTAGAAGTGGTACAACAATCAAAAGGATTAGAATCGGTAATTAAAGCTCAGATATCTAATGTTGCTGTTGAGGAATGTGCTGCAATTCCATGGGATGAATTTCAGGTAATAGTTATTACCTAAGGAGTATTGATAATGATAACAACATATAAAAAGTTCATTGACTATCTGTTTCACAATTTTGTTATACGAGTATTATAATTTTAAGTTACATGTAAATTTTGGCCTTTGGCCATCCTCAGCATATCTGAAAAATGTTTTATATAGCTAGGATTAAAAATATAACTTCTTACAATAAATCTAGATTAACCTTTTAAAATATGATTATAAACAATTATTTGCTTTTAGAATATCACAATTTATGTTCTTTGTGAAAAACAATTTAAATTTGTTTATGCTCATTTCACCTTGTCAATAGACAATGGTCACTCATTTAAAAAAAAACTTTATTTATGGAATGAGAGATACTACTTATAAAATGTCAAAGTTTTTTCAGCCAGCCTTAGATTTTATAAGAGAAAATAATTAATATGATTCAAAAACTCAATAGATGTAAAAAATAGATTAAACAATATAAAAATGGAGAAAGAAGAAATTTTAATAAGTTTTGATGCTAAATCAATTTTTACTGATATAATTTTAAAAGTTTTATATAATATAATAAATGAATAATGGGGTAAAATTGAACCATAAACAGTAATAAAAAACAGTGCCAGCCTTAGGGTGGGGCAACTGGAGCTATAGCCTCAGGGTACCAAGCTGGGGAAGGGGGGGGCGCTCGCCGCTTGTTAAAATAAAAAATAAATAAAAAACGTATTTGTTGGGGCCAGGGTGTTTCAAAATTAAAATGCAAACCTTTCCCCAGTGAGTTTCCTCAAAGGTGGGGAAAATACGAGTAAAATTAAACTATAGGAATGCTAAATATACTTAAGTGAAAATACTTTCAGAAAAAAGAGAGAGAACAATAAAGAAATAAGCCTGATAATAAAATAAAAAAATCTGGTGCGGTGTGCTCATCACACAGCTTTCACTTACCACCCTCTTCTTAGCAGAAATAAGTATTTTCAGACAAAGGGAAGTGAAAGTAAAAATTATAGAAGCTATATTTATTTATATTTCATTGTGGGTATTTTTATTTGTATAAGTATCCTTATATATACAAATTTTAATATTTATATCGCTGTAATCTATACAATTAAATATTAAATAATACCAACAATAGCATTTATGAAAACCACATATGTATATTTATATAATATTGTCAGAGTCCGTATTATATTAAGCTCATGTTACGTATGGAAGCGTGTTCTAATCTTTCGGGTGAGCTCGATGCGTCGTATTCCTTTGGTTCCTCAATTACAACTATTCTCCGTTAAGATCTCTTATTTCTCCTTCAGTTAATTATCAAATTCTTTCATATTTTATATTTCTTTTTATATTATAGATTAATGTGAAATGGTCAATTGTTTCAAATAAAAAAAATTAAAGGTACTTTAGGGAAGCTAATATTGAAAATTAGCCATTTAAGCCCTGTTAGAGAACATCAATCAGAATAAAAACTACATTTTATTTAAAACTGCTTAATTTTACACTGATATAATGAATTTAATCAAAATCGTTAGAGCCGTTTTCGAGAAAATCGTAAAAATGTGTTTAGTCTATTATATAAAGTGCCACTTCCGGTTAGCCGATTTTGACGAAAAAGTTGCTGTGACATCCCTAGTATATAAAAACCTTAAATATGCAATTTTACTTTTGTATGACTTTTTGTTTTTGAGTTAAACTGTTAACACATTCACACACACAGCAAACTCTTAAATTATATAAAATACTAACTCTGAAATAATTTAATATAAAAAGAGAAGCTGTGAAGTTCAATATATTGACAAAGTTCAAATAAACATCCCCCCTCCCTCCATCTGTTAGAGTTCAAACTCTTTATTAATAAAAAGTTTTTAATTAATAAATAGGTCATTAATTAAATTTTATAACTGCAAAAATACAATAAAATATGAATTAACACGATAGCTATGGTTGTGGTCCCCGTCATCCTTCAATAGCTTTATATCAGATATAATGATTATTTACGTTCGTGTCAAACTCCCATTCAAATATTTTAAAAATGACCATTGTAGAGACTTTGTAAGATAGGCAAAAAATTTTAACAATCCCGGCCAACAAATATCGGAACCCGGGAACCGTAACTGCAGCTAATGAAATGAAAATATATTTATTATTCTGGGACTGTTGTCCCTTTAGAACAATTTATAAGTAAAGAATGCATGTCTGTGTGGTCATAAATAAATTAAATATTTACAATAATAGTTAATTCTTCTTCTTCTTCCTCCTTGTGCCTTTTAGCGTGGAGATGCCTCAGTCCATGCCAGCCACGCATCCCAGTTTCTGGCCAGCGCCTTCATAGAATTTAATAATGATAATTAATTAATAGTAAAAATGCATAAGAAAGAGAGAGAAAAATAAAAGAAAAGCGTCCATATATATAAAACAAACAAAGGCAACTAAAATAACATAAATAACTGAAATAAATAGTCTCTAGGGGTACTTAAATATTTCTCTTAGGTATATTTCGTAGTCAGTCGGATTGAGAAGGAATAAGTGTTTAAATAGGAGAGGTTTGAAGAAAAAACTGATTGTGCATGTCGAATATCAGCAGGGATGGAATTCCAGAGGGAGATGACTTGAATTTCAAAGGATTTGTCAAACACAGCAGTTCGGTGGGGAGGAGGATAGAGGTCGGAAGTACGGGATCAGGTGGGACTGGATTGAATGGAGGATTTGAATTGTAGGCTCTGAAGAATATAGGAGGGTCGATGAGTTCTAATGACCTGGTACAAAAAGGTAGCTAGGAAGTACTGACAGCGATAGGATGGGTAGAGCCACTTCAACTCTATGTAATACAGAGTAATATGCATATCTCATGTGATTCCGAAAACAAAACGTATTGCGTAATTCATTAGGCGTTTAAGTTTGGCTTTGAAATCTCCGGAGAGTCCACTGTACACCATACAGCCATAGTCAAAGTGGGGAGAATGAAGAGAGGAAACTAGGAGTTGACAGTACTTATATGGAAGGAGATAGCATAGACAATTGAACTGTTTTAAGGTTGAGATAGTATGGCAGAAAATTTGGGAGATGTGTGGTTTCCAGGAGAGGGTTTGATCAAAAGTAACACCTAGGTTTTTAATAGATGTATGGAATAAAATAGGTGAGTTGTTCAGGAGAAGATTGGGAGATATCGGGAAGGATTTGAGGAGTGAGGGGATCCAATCAAGATGGCTTTCTTCTTCTCGGTATTTAGAGTGAGCCTGTTGAGGTTTGTCCAAGCACTTATTCTATTAATATCTTCTTGGAGTTTTTGGATGGCATCTGAGGAATCGAACGGATTGAAGGAGAGGTAAATTTGGACGTCATTGACATTCAGGTGGTATTTTGGTGACAGTGCTGGATAGAGCATGGGAGGTCATTTATATAGATGGAAAAAAGAGTGGGGGATTAGGAAGAGCCTTTTGGAATGCCTCTGGACAAGGGTAAAGATTCTGATGGGGAGCTATTAGGGATTACAACATACTCGGAGCGACAGGTAAGGAAGGATTGAGGGTTGAGTTGGAAGGGTTGGAACCAATTGAGGGCACTAGAAGAAAAGGAGATATTTTTAAGTTTGGTTAGGAGGATGTTGTGGTCTACTGAATCAAAAGCTTTAGAGAAGTCAAGGAGAATAAGGATGGTTAGTTTCTCTAGAACTATGGCTGTATGGCAGAAAAATTAATTATTTTGTTTATTTGGCCGTGGGGCGACCCTGGGGTAGCGAGGCCCTCCTGTGGCATACCCAACCTCTACAAAGTGGGTACCGTTAATTAAATAATTGATTAAGGGGGAAAACCTGGCAGTTGATGGTGATCCTGGCCCGATCCTCTCCCTGCAAAACCGTTGGCCTTGAAACAGTACTTTCCCTAAAATAGGACTAAACCCAAGACCCTTCATGGGTTGTAGTGTTACAGGTTATTTTTTTTTTTTTTTAATGAATAGGTGGAATTGGACTAGTTGCTCTAAATGTTCGGAGAGGTTCAAAAGAATGGAAATTCTACAGAAATCATTAAGAGCTGATGGGTTAAAGGTCTTCTTCAAGGGCCGAACTAGGGTGGTATTCCAGGATATAGGGAAGGTAGCATTTCGAAGAGAATAATTATAGATATGATAAAGGATTGGAATAATGGATGGTTTTAATCAGTCTGACTGGGATGTTATTGGGACTATAATCGTTGGTATGGGATTTCTGAAGGAAAAAAAAAATGTATTTGTTTAACAGCTAATGTGTTGAACAAATACATTTTAATTGATAATGTAATATTTTAGTGATAAATAGGTTATAAAATAGCAGGTATTAGTTTTTAAAATTGTTTAAATAAATTAAGTTGTTGAATTCATTTAAAGTATTATTATATTTTTGATAATTTATGTAATTTCGAATGTAGTTTTTGTTGAAATTAACAGTTTTTTTTTTTTTTAATGAGTGACCATTTTCTATTGACAAGGTAAAATAAAAAAAAAACAAATTTAAATTGTTTTTCATAAAGAATATAATAATAATAATATGCTTTATTTATTCTGTGACAAGTCCGTTTAGAATAATACAATTGTGGCCTTTAGAGCCTAAAAATACTAGCTTTATAAAAATACTAGCTTTACCCGGCCACACGCTGCTGTGGCTTAGACTGGCAAAATGGAAAAGAAAGAAAATAGAAAGCATATATGAGTGGATTAATACCAAAGGACTTCTGTAATTTTTAAAAAGTTGAGAAACAAATTTGTCTGTAAAATGGCTTCAATTCAAACTAATCCTAATGTTTTTTTTTCATGATTCAACTTGAACATTCGTAATCATCTCAGTGAATACGCCTTTATTCATAATCATTAGAAACATTCATAAACTAATAAATATTCATAAACTTATAAAACTAAAATTTACTTTATCTTATTTTTCTGAAAATGACAGAAATCCGTCCTTTGATATCAAGCCACTCATATATTTTCATATTTAATTTTTTTTTTTTTTTTTTATAATTAATGTATTGTTTAATGTTCAA